TGGTGTGCTTCTTCCATGTGGGCTTTGTTGCTTCTGAGCTAGATGGCCTCTTGTTTACTTTCAAGCCTTTAAGACCCCAGACGCTATACCTTTTGATAGCCTGGCATATCATTGTCTTTAATAGTGACATCTGAAGGGGAAAAAAAGGCCACAATACTTGTGGGTATGTTGAACTTGAAAAAAATCACTGTTTTTCCACCATAAACAGATGAATGCAAACCAGTCTTTTTTTTTTTCTCTGAAAATTCATTTAACCTCTCCCGGGGGGACGAACAACAGAAAAGTGGGTGAAGGGCAACAGAGGACAATGTAAGATATGAAAATAATCATCTATAACTTATCAAGGGTTCATGAGGGAGGGAGGGAGGGCGGGGGAGGAAGGGGACAAAAGGGAAAAAATGAGGAGCTGATATCAAGGGCTCACATAGAAAGAAAATGCTTTGAAAATGATGGAAACATAGGTACAAATGTGCTCAACACAATGGATGAATGTATGGATTGTGATGAGACGTAAGAGCCCCCAATAAAGGTATTTAATAAAAAATCATTTAAATATCATATAAATATGAGTGGGTCCTTAAGAAGTCCGACTCCCTTAAAAAAAAAAAAAAGCTCTAGCACATAATTCACCCAGAGGTGCTGCTAAGTGAGGTCAGAGGTTCAAATCCACCAGCCGCTCCATGAGAAATAGGCAGAGTCGGCCTCAGGAAGACTATAGGCTTGGGGTCTATGTTGCTGCTGGGTGCTGTCCAGTCGGCTCTGACTCATAGTGACCTTCTGTACAACAGAATGGAACCATTCGGTCCTGCACCATCCTCAGGGTTACAGCCAGTGTCCGTCCTCACTGAGCCTTCCACCTTTTTGCTGCCCCTCCACTTTATCAAGCATAATGTTCTCCAGGGATTGGTGTCCCAGGGACATAAGACGAAGCCCGCCATCCTTGCCTGGAAAGGGCATTCTGGCTGTACCTGGAAATTCTATAGGGTAGTCCTATTCTGTCCTGTAGGAATGCTGTACATCAGAATCAACTCAAGCGCAAGAGGTTTTATAATTTACCCATCAGAGGTTTTAAATATATTCACAGTTGTGCCATTGCCAAAAATCAATTTTTGAATATTTCCATCAGCCCGCAAAGAAACCCCATGCCCATTTAGTTGGGAGGCAACCACTAATCTCTTCTGTTTCTCTAACCATTTGTCCACTCTATGTCTTTGTGATGGTATTCTTTCATTCAGTACAATATTTTCAACACCCATACCTGATGTGTTTGTACTAATACTCCATTCATTTTTATGGCCAGATAATATTCCATTGACTTTTATTGATCTGTATGTCACTTGATAAGACATTTGGGTTATTTCTACTTTGGTGCTACTATTGCTATGAATGTTTATGTACAAGTTATGTTTCCCTCTATCACGGGTATACCTAGAAGTGGAATTGCTGGGTCATATTCTGTGTATTCAAACTTTTTAGCAACTGCCATTTTTCCAAAGTGGTTGCAAAACTGCACGATCCCACCAGCGGTGTTTAAGAATTCTAATTTTGCCACATCTTGCTAATATTCACTGTTATCTGTCTTTTTAAATCGTAGCCATCCTCCCAAACCAAGCTCCCTGCAGCGAATAGGATGACTCCCGGTGAAGCTATTACAGATATTCTAGGGCAGGGTAGAAATGTCCCTGTGGGGTCCTAAGACGGTAATTCTTTATGGGGGCACAAAGCCTCGCGCTTCCCCCCCGCCTTGTGCCCCGGCCACCAGGCCTCGGGGGAGGAAGTGCACAGCGGCTTGCAACACCCAGGGGTGACTCGGGGACTTCTCTGGAAGCCTCTGGGGGGATAGGGCACAAATGGGAGACAAAGGGGGAAAGAGAAGAGGCTCCTAAGGCAAGTAGTTACCTTGGGGGAGAACAGCTGGAGCAAGAAATGTGGAATACCTTTCCCTCGGGAGCAAGGAATCAGTCACCGGGGGTCTCGAGTTCTGCGCCTGCGTGCTAAGCGGGCCGGGCTGCGCGTGTGCGCATGCGCCCGCGGCGCCAGTTCCCGCGTCTACTTCTGCGCCTGCGCCCACCCTTGGGTGCTTCTGCCTGGATGGAATCTCCCAGAATGATGAGAAGGGAGCAGCTGTAGCTCCGCAGTGCTGGGGAATTAGGCGGTTCCTAGCCAGTGACTCCGGAATAAGAAGAGAATTCACAGTTCAAATCTTTTATTTTTCAATCAAGAGCACTCTTTTTATTTTATTTTTTAATTTAATTATTTTTGAGCACTCTTTATTTGGGTACAAGTCAATACTTTTAGCTGATATAGTCCCTAAGGATAACTGAAACAATGACATTAATAGACGGTTTTATTTATTATTGTTGAATATTAGCTAGTTTATAATTCAAGTCGTTCATAAAATTATTTTTTTATTAGAAGACCATTTTATTGCGGGCTCTTAACAGCTCTTAGAGCAATCCATACATCGGTTATATCCAGCATATTTTGTACATGTTGCCATCATTATTTTCTAAACATTTGCTTTTTATTGAACCCTTATCAACTCCTTTTTTCCCTCCCTCACGCCCCATCCTCATCACCCCTTGATAAATTAAAGTTATTATTTTCATATCTTACACCGACCGCTGTCTCCCTTCCCCCATGGTTTCTGTTGTTTGTCCCCCTGGGGGTCGGGGGTGGGGGTAGTTATATGTCCATCATTGCGATCGGTCCCCTATTCCTCCCCTCCTCTCCCCACCTTCCCCCTACCCTCCTGGTATCTCGACTCCCATTTCTGTTCCACTGTCACCCCTGCCGCCACCAACTGCAGAGCACAAGTTGCACTCATGAGTTTATTTTTCGTGAATTTTGCTTTTCTTTAGTGTTGCGTCCACTTGGGAGAGTTCTTTTTCACTTACAGATACTGAGGTCTTGAGAGCCTCAGAAATGCCTTCTCGTTTGAAGTAAAATGACAAATTTGAGTACAGTACTTGAAGATAGACAAAAGGGAAACTTCCCACACATAGGCTTATACATCTCAGAACAATGGAACTACAATGTAAATAAGCAACTGACGATGCTGTGGGTTAGGCACTAGGCTCCTGTCTGCTCTGTAAAGCGTTAACCAGTCTTGGAACCCCTATACCGGTCTGTAGGAGTTGGAATCCATTGGATGAGAGTTTTGTTCTGTTGGGTTTTTTTAATTTAACTTTAATGACCACATAGAAGACACTGGGTGACTCAAGGGTGGGAAGGAGAAGCATTGGTTCTTGGCAGGGTGTGTGGGGGGTAATCATTGGCATTTGTCCAATGTGAGTGTATTATTTTTCATGTTTTCATATCCATTTGAATCCTTTGTGAGAAGGCAGACAACAAGGGAATGTTTTGGATAATTTTATTCATTCTTTACTATTAAAAGATCATTTTATTGGTGGCTCTTACAGCTCTTACAACAATCCATACATCAATTGTATCAAGCATATTTGTACATATATTGCCATCATTATTTTCTCTTTTTTTTTTTTTTGGTCAGTTTTTTAAAATTGTTTTATTAGGGGCTCATACAACTCTTATCACAATCCATACATACATCAATTGTGTAAAGTACATTTGTACATTCATTGCCCTCAACATTCTCAAAACATTTGCTCTCCACTTAAGCCCCCGGCATCAGCTCCTCATTTTCCCCTCCCTCCCCGCTCCCCTCTCCCTCATGAACCCTTGACAACAAGGGAATTTGAAAGTGTTAGACATTCATGTAGAATTCGGTCATCCTGGGGAAACCTGAGTAAACCTGTTTATTTCTGGTCAAAAACCATGGGGTGGGCTGCACAGGGAGAGAAGGGTCGGGCAGTTTTGGAAAATAACAGGGAGGGAAGATATGCAGGAGACACACAATTGAACCTTTGCCGTCAATCGTTTCTCTTGGGTTTGCCAAAGAAATGGCAAGGGAACCTTTAGGTTCACAGACATCAAATGGAGGCTGAAAAGAAGGCATTGTATGCTAATTTTTATGAGGGAAATAAATTGGGTATAACTGGTAGGGTTGAAATCTGATGTTCTTCTAGATAAAGGAAGACTTCTCACGGTGAGGAATCTTCAGACTGGTTATGGTCGATCCTTGCCCTCAACCTTTCAAGATAACTTCAAGCTCCCTCCTCTAAGGGAAATGGTGAGGACATTTTTAGACAAGCATCTATACCTAAGAGGGTTTGCAGACCCAAAGGTCATGCCATGTAGATAACAAACATTTCCTGGGTCAAGATGAACTACTTCAACTTCATTGCCCAGTGAACGGTTAGTGGATCTGGCCAAGGATAGGAACTTGGGGCCTGACATGCTGATGCTGTTGATAGGTACCATCAAATTGATTTTTGGCCCAGTGACCCCATGTAACCCAGTAGAACTGCTCCATGGGGTTTCTTAGAGACAGCGGTTAAAGGTCTCAGCTACTAACCCAAGAGGTCAGTGGTTTGAACCTACCAGAAGCTCCATAGGAGGAAGACGTGACAGTTGGCTTCTGGAAAGATTTACAGCCTGGGAAACCTTATGGGGCCAGTTCCTCAGTCCCATGGAGTCTCGGAGAGCGGTCAGAGCAGCCTGCACACAAAGAGATGCTCTCTATGGGAGCAGATCACCAGGTGTTTCCCGTGAGTGAGGAGACACTCGGTGGTTGGAACACCAACTTTCCAGTTAGCAGCTGAGGTAAGGGATCTAAAACGTTGTAAGTATGAAGGCAATGCCCAGAGGGTCAGAATTGGTTGTCTTCATTGTAGATAAGCAGCCAGAAGTTGAGTTCCCAGATAAAATATTTTAGGAATAATAAGTCATAAGTAACTCCAGAAATCAGTACATCTGCGAAGAAACAAGTGAGACCTAGTTGGTAATACATCAGATTGCGTGATAGAAATCCCCCTAAAGGGGGAAAAAAAACCCACACCACCACAGAGGAGCATCGTTAGTACATTTTATTTTTTAAAAAAAGAAGAAAAATAATAATTTATGCCCTTGCCAAAATAAAGAATCTTGACAATATAAATGTTTCTTACAAAACATATGAAAAGATAACATAATATATGTCAATAAATCAACATCAATGTTATAGCAAAAGGAAGAAAGATTCCATCACAAGGGAGGATATTCCTGGCTCTGACTCAGCAGCATTTTGGGGGAGGGAGCCTCTGATTTCTCCTTTCCTTGGCACTGCTGTGCCTCTTTACGAAAGCTTGAGACATATCGATGTGAATTTACAAAGTCGATCAATTAAGAAGATGTTTCTTTACATCACAAAATGCTTCCACCTCCCCACCCCCACCCCTAAAAAATCCAAGAAAATATTTCAGCCAGGAATCCTTCAAGGAGCAAATTTTCCTGATGCATTTAGGATGTGATTATTAAATACAGGTGTGCCCTCTTGTTCCCCGCTTTGGCTGCACTGCATACAGTGAGGGGTTCCGGAAGTGAGGATGGCACAGAGTGGGGCTTCCGACCTGACTGGGGAAAGTGCGTTCTTACTGTTAGGGCGAGGAAATGTGGGAGCACTCAAGTTCTCTCTCTCTCTCTCTCCAGTTTTCTTTCTTCCCTTCCTTGTCTCTGCTGCACCTTTGTAAACTCCGCTCACCCAGTATTCCCCGGGAAAAGGAGAAGCCCTATGGCAGGGGTCATGTTAATGAGCTAGGGAGTCCCTCCCACAGAGAAGAGTGTGAGGGGACCCTGAGCCCCAGAGTGTATATGTAGATCTAGGGAGGAAAGCAGAAGCATGCTGTGCTCTTGATGTGGTGTTGTGTTTTTTTGAGGGCCCTCTCCCCATAGGGGCACCCATTCCCAGGGGAGCAGCAGGCCAGCCGAGCCCGCTCTGAATGAGACACATCTTCAGGAGGATGGACGAAGGCCTATTTGTCACACTCCTCCTGGCTTCCCTCAGCTTGGTAGTGCCGCTCACAGAACTCCTGGATGCGGCTGCAGGCCTCCAGCATCATCACCTCGGGCACGGTGATGACCACCCGGAAGAAATTCGGGTACTCGAAGCACTGCAAAAAAGAAGAGCCTGTCATCTCCAGGAGAGCTGGCTCTGGTCCCAGACCCCGCCCCCCCATCAATGGCCAGGACCCCCATCAGCAAGAGGCAGTCATGGGTAGACACAGTGGCCACAACAAGGGGCTCGAGCGAGCCCCCATGGAGCGGATGGAGCAGGATGGGGCAGGGCCCCTGTGAGGAAGAATCGACTGGGCAGCCCCAAACAACCTGGGTCCATCCCAGCCCCAGCCCGGAGGGCCCAACTTGGTAACTGGGTTCATTCATCTTTAAAAGGAAACCTTGGGACAGCTGGGTCTCCTCGAACTTCGGGTGGGTCACAACTTGTATTTCAGGTACAGGTGGGATAGGGAGGGGAGAGAAGCAAATTTTAAATAGAGGACATCAGACATAGCCACTTTAATCTAAATAAGTAAATCTAATCAAACGAGAATATTCTTTGTTAAGCCAGATGGGGCCGGGGATAGGGAAGGCTAAAGTCCTTGGGTGGTGGAAATGGGTTGCACCCAACCTTGAGCCTAAAGGTTGGTGGTTCGAACCCACCCAGTGGCACTTGGAGAAAACCTGTCAGTCTACTTTTGTTAATAATATAGTCAAGAGAGCCCTGTGGGGCAGTTCTACCCTGGAACTGTAGCCCTGAGTCAGAATAAACTCCCGGGCAAGTAACAAGGAGCCACAGGCCAGTTCCGGGCGGCTCCTGGGGCTCTAGAAACTGCAGAGGACATGCTCAGAGACAAGCACTCACCGTAGCCGGGAGGCAGTGGACAGATTGCTCGGCAAATAACCGCTCAGTGAACTCCACGTCATTCTCGAATTCGGGGAAGTGCTCCATCTCAATGCCAACCTGTACCAACCATAGAAGGAAGGGGCAAACTTGTCAGGAGGAGGGAAGGCGGGCCAACTCCCGATGTTGGAAGGTAAGGTAGGGAATTTTCTAGAAGTCGCCTGGGAACTTCACTGCAGACAACTCAGCCTGGGGCTCTAGCAAGCACTGGTGGACTCATGACCTTTGACACCGGGAAGAGAAGATCTATTTATAGTTACAATGTATTTATAGTGACTATATACTTATAGTCACAGCATCCTTTTAGGATGCTGATAAATGACAGTTGGAGATATAGAATGCTAGTGTATCTCAAAAGAGGCACTATTAACATGATAGTGGGCTAGACAATTCTGTTCCACCCAATATAGGAGATTTAGCGTGTCCTGCACTGCTACGGGTCAGAATAGACTCAGCAATGAGTCCCACAAAATGCCAGTAGCACACACACCCCACACACAGTCACAACGATAGTTGTGGGAAAAATCTGTTATCTGTGTCGTATGTCTTCCTTGTGTATGGACATCAAATGGTTGCCCAAACTGTGGAATTGTCCTTTTAAGAGCTCTTTGAACACAGGTGAAATCACATCTGTGGAACGATTCAGAACAAGACAGCTGGACTTGGGAGTCACTGTCATTCTGAATGGTGACTCCTGAGTTGTCAGTGCACACACCTTGCATGACCACCTCTGGCAGCCGGGTGGAGCGGTTTCCCTTTGCTTTACAACATATATAGATCTAGCACCTGCCACTCATATACTCACCATGAGGTACATGGCCCCGGAAGGGCAGACTGGCCGGAGTCCAGGGATAGCAGCCAATGCCCCATAGCAGAGATCGGCGTTAGACTACAAGAGGAGGTTGAGAGAAATCAAGAATCGGTGTTTAGGTAAGAGAAAACCAAGCCATGAAGAGAGCCAGCATTGAGCATCAGGAACCTAGGTTTGTTCTCCTAGCAGAAGGAATCAACCAGAAAAAGCCCGGTGGTCTTCAGGCACTGGTACCAATGGTGGGCAGGGATAAACGTGAGAGGGGAAACATAGATGGATCCCATCTTCTGGACAGATAGGAGACCACAATAGCACATGGCTCCAGAAATGAAGACCAGGGATTCCCGGTTCCAGTGGTGCCGTTCCCTGACGCTGCAGTGGAAGGTCTTCATCTCACTTACCTTGAGGAAGCTTAGCGTCTTGTCATAGAACTCCTGAGGCGTGCGATGCAGGATGCTTTTTAGGGCTCCCTGGACAATGGTGCAGGGTCCCAGGATCCGCTGGCTGAGCTTCACCAGCCCATCTCGGATCTACAAGGAAACGCAGCCTTAATTAAGCAGCCCTGATCCTGGGTTCTTGCTCTGACCGTTGTTTCTATCAGATTTTTAATCTTGGGAGAGGGGAAGTGATGGTGCCTGGTGACATTCTGACCTCAGGCCACGTGGGTTTGCAGCCCAGCTCTGTCACACACCTGCTGTATGACTCCTGACAATTGATAGCATTCTTCTGTGCCACCCTTTCCCTCAGCAGTGCGATGGAGTGAATACTGGGGGTGGTCATGATTACATAATGGATATGCAATGAGATAACAGCAACCCCAAAGATTAGACAGACCTTATAGGGGAGGGATGAGAACCAGAGTGGTTGCACCACTTGAGCAACGTGCCCAGTGTCCCGGAATGATTCGGGTAGAGGCTGCTGAACCGATATATGTTTTGCTGTGTGTCTATTCTCAACAACAGAATGAACAGTGTGCTTGTCTAGAAAGCACGGCACATAATAAATCCTCAAACATTAGAAGGCATGCCTGTTATTCTTTCCTTTGGGGGGAATCCTAAATTCAGAAATCGAGGCAACTTCCTCACAGAACAAGATACAGGGAAACTGGTCTTGGAACAGAAATAACTGATACCCTCTTTCGCCACTGTCTTTCTCAAACTCAAAACAGTCAAACAAACGTCACTGCCATCGAGTCAATTCTGATTTATAGAGACCCTAGGGAACAGAGTAGGTGTTGTCCCTTTAAGTTTCTGAGACTGTAAATCTCTTTGGGAGCAGAAAGCCTCAGTTTGCTCCTACAGAGTGGTTGGTGGGTTTGAACTGCTGATCTGCAGTTAGCAGCCCAAAATGTAACCCTGTATACCAGTGGTTCTCAACCTTCCTAATGCCATGACCCTGTAATATAGTTCCTCATGTTGTGGTGACCCCCCCACCATAAAATTATTTTCATTGCTACTTCCTGACTGCAATTTTGCTACTGTTATGAATCAGGAGACCCCTGTGAAGGGGTCGTTCGACCCCCAAAAGGGGTTGCAACCCACAGGTTGGGAACCGCTGCTCTATACCAAGGCTCCTCTAGTGTCTTCCTAGACATCCTGAACCGTGGGGCTAAGAAGCAGAAGGGAAAAAAATCCACAAAAAAGGAAGCATACACAGACCAGGCACACTGTTTCACCACCTCATTCTCACCTCGTTGCCAAAAATATCTTTTCGGTCATGGATGAGGATCCAGCCCAGCCTCCAGCCAGGAACCAGCCAGCGCTTGGCCAGCCCACCACAGGACAGGATGGGCACCTTGGTGCTGAGGGTGGCCAGGGGCTCATATTTGCAATCTGAAAAGACCTGAGGACAAGAGGTGCTCATTAGAGTTGTCTTCTTGCAAACATCTCAGTGAACCAGGCCTCCCCATCTTTGCTATCACACACATATTTTTACTCTTCTTACAGGTTGTAGACACACAGTGACCCCCATGTGACAGAATAGAACTGCCCCCTAAGCTTTTCTTAGCTGTCACCTTGACAGAAGCAGGTCACCAATTCTTTCTCCCACGGCGCCACTGAGTGGGTTTCCAACGGCCAACCTTCCGATTGGCAAACTCATTCTTAACTCCTGTGCTGCCAGGCCTCCTGCCTGCACACCTATGTGCTGTTCAGAGTACAGGGAGGCTGGTTTTCAGGACTGAAATAATTAGGCGCTGCTTCTGATAGTTTCAATAACTACCTTCGAAGCTCCCCACAAAACAATCTGAGGTGGAGAGATCCGTGGGTGATGCATCCTGCCAGGACTCACCATGTCTCCATAGATCTCATCGGCTAAGATGGGGACACATTGTCTTGCAGCCACTGAAAAGAAAAGAAACGCAAGGCAGTGATGTTCCGTGGATTTGCCTTAACACTTCACAGTCACTCCGTCTTATTTGCATGTTGCAGTTCGTTATTTGTGCGTCTCATCTTCTTCCTCTTGAAGAACTGTGATTTTTTTCTAATTCTTCTTGGGTATCAAGCCTCAATTGGTCATGTCATTAACTAGATATGTCAACCCCGGCTTCCAGCGTGGGAGTGGTCACGAGGCTCATGTTTCTTATTTTATTGCTTCTTTTAGCCACGTCCCATATGCCCACGACCTGCTGAGAGTAGAGACCTCCAAGAACTCCTTCCCTCTGTCCTAGGTTTGGAATGTACGGAACTACTCTTTCTTCCTCACCCCAGAAACAAGCTAGGGGGTCCCCTCTGCATCCTCCTCTATGACGCCAGGTGGGCTTACCTGCCAGAATTTTCTGAAGGTGCTGTTTGCTGAAAACGGACCCACAGGGGTTTGATGGGTTATTAATGATGAGACACGCTGTCTTCTCATCAATCAGAGATTCCAATTGTTTCAGGTCAATCTCCCAAGACTTTTCAGGCTGGAGAGGAAGAAAGGGTGAGGGTACTAAGATGATTCTGAGAAACTTAGAGTGTTAAGGACAAAACAAAGCAATCTGTGACCTGGACCACCCAGTTCCTTGTAGCCACTTGAGTCTGAAATGAAAAGTCATTTACCAACAGATCGTAGAGTTTGACCTCAATTCCCATAGACTCTGCCAAAGTCCGGTAGAGTGAGAAGCCAGGCCTAGGAATTAGGATGTTTTGTCCTGGATTGGCCAACACAGCTAAACAGAGTTCGATCGCCTGACTGCAGCCGCTTGTCAGAATGACATCCTGTGAGAGCAGAAAAGTGGAACTTGGTGAGGGTGTGATGGGGGCAACCCTAAAGGTGCTTCCACAAGTTCTGGGTAGGGTAGCGGGGGCTTGTTCAAGGGTACAAAAGAGACCCCCAATCTCAAACAGAGTTTATTAACTCTTTAAGGGGACAAAGACACAGACACAGACCCCGGATGCGGGAGGCCCTTAGCACAAGGCCACAATGGCACCCAAGGATTCAGAGCCACACAACTGCTTAAACAAGTCCTGGAACACAAAGGAGATGGTCACAAATTCATCATTCGGTGGCAGACCAACACATCACAGCTAGACAGGATGGGACCATGATTGGGAGATGTACATTGTTAGATAGAAGGGCTTACCATACTGGTCCAGGGCCCTCCAACCAAGGCAGTGAGGGGAGACTGATAAGGCCTGACTCGTGACTATGCAACCCCTGTACTGTTCCCAGTAGATGCCCTCCATCAAGGATTTACCCAGGCAAGTCCCAAGAGAAAGCCTGCCTCTGGCTGGGCAGGTTGGAGATGGGTGGACTATCCCACTCTGCAAGGCACCCTGTCTGAGGGCAAGACTATCTACATCCCTGGTTAATGATCAGAAAGAATTCAACGGGGGCTGAATCTATTAGGTGACCCTGCAAATGGATTTTGAGCTGTCACTGCCATCCACAGCCTGTTGCAAACTGGGGTGCTCAGAATTGAAGCTCTAATACAGGCTGTACTGCACCCAAACCAAGAGAAATAGATATCTTTACATATGTCCGTATCTAAATGCTGTTGAAAACGTTGGCCTCTCTCTCTCTCTCTCTCTCTCTCTCTCTCTCTCTGTAAGTGGCTTTAAAAGGATAGATTGGCTATGACTCATCACACGCCTTGGGACAGCATGATGGCCTTGGACTTTTTTACCTGGTTATTTATTTACTTTGAGCCAGAGATTTGAAGCCTGGCTCTTCTTTGAAATACAGACAAAGGGCATCTCCTATATTAGGCAACAGAAAACAGAAGGAAGGATAACATTTCATCTTAAACTTGGCATTGCCATCACTTCAATGTGCCATGGTGTCATAATCTCCCCAATCGGAGTGACCTTTCAGTGAGTGAAAGAAGCCGCACATTCTAAAAGCTCTTACTGGTGAAAAAATTTTTTCTCAATGACGAAGTGCATATGAATTGTTTTCCAATGGTCTCCTGCAGAGAATCAAACCTCTGAGCCCTTCAAGTTCCCTGGAGAGCGACATCACTTAAGTCGTATGTCACATTCTTATCATACGTCAAATCTGTGACTCAACAGTCACGGATTGGTGGTCTCCACTATATAAACTCAGAACTCACTGCCATCAAATGAATGCAATTCATGGCGACACTACAGGACAGGGTAGAACTGCCCCCGTGGGTTTCCGAAGCAGTAAATCTTGAGAGGAGTAGGCAGCCTCATCTTTCTCATTCCCACTATATAAGAAGTCTTCTGATGACTAAAGGGCGATTATTTTCCACTTCCACCCAATCCTGAACTTGCATTCCTTTTGGACCAAAAACAAGGAAAAAGGCAGTTCCGAGCTGGGCCCTTGTATCAGGCTCACCTTAGCTTCCAGGGGTGCCTCAGGGCAGTGGTAATAAGAAGCAATCTCCTCTCGACTGGCTAGGTAGCCTGAAAGAAAAGAGTCAGAGAGTGAGCAGGAGGGCTTCTCCCCTTCATCAGCAGTGATGCCTTAGTGAGGTGGCCCAGAACAGACTGCTTAGTTCAGCTCTCCCCACTGTCAAACACAACAGACAATAACAAGAGCTCCCCGCACAATGAGATACTCTACACTACCTTAATTACTGTGTGCTTTTCTCTATAAAAGCATGGATTTAGATTACTCCTAAATCTCTTCCAGATAATCCTCTGATTCTATCCTTTCTGAAAACTTGCAAACAATGTATTCAATAAATTAAATCCATTTAAAGTTATTTTTAATTCTATAATTTAGCTATACCTGGGGTTCTTTTTTGTTGTTTACTTCTTTATTTTCATATATAATATTTCCAAATATTGGCTTACAAGTGTCAAGTACAGGCAGTTATAGACACATGATCATTGTTACAGCAAGGTTCTCCAAAAGGATGGCCTTCCCGTAGCAAGGCCAGGGCTGTTTCACAGTGTTTGCTCATTTAATACACACCAAGGGCTGGTCTCCCACAGCTATGTAAGTTAGCACTTAATTGTTAACGAGGAAAAACATTTCCTTAGGTGTCTGTTTGCTATCCAGATTTCCCTTTATGTGAAATTTCCCTCCTCTGAACATTTATTTTTCAAAGGGAGACTTGGTGTTGTCTCTTGGGATGAACTCCGTTGCCTAGACTTGGGATATGAAAGTCATGGTAAACTTCATAACCCATTTTTGATCTTGACTTTGATTCTTGTAAGAAATTTTATTTTTAAAATGTACTGCTTTGAAGGGTTTTTAGATTCTATTCTAGCCTGAAACAGGGTTATTATTCTACATAGAATACACTTCTATGTACACATATGCACAGAGGGGGAAATGTTTGACCCTGAAACATAACTGAGGAATCACTTATTTTACCAAAAACTTCTGGGTGGAAATTTTTCTTAAGTAGGGATGATTTAAACATCAATAGGAAAAATTGTTCTTCAGTCAGAAACAACCTTGTATTCTCTCAAAATGACAGCCCAATTCTTTGTTGTTCTAGGGATTTTTACCACTTTTGACCTTTTACATCATTACTATACATTTCTGTGCGCTCAGGATCACAATTAAGATAAGCCTTCAAGAAATAAAAGCAAAAGAGGCTGTTTACAGAGGGCAATAAATAAGTTGAATTCAGGACCCAGAAGACTCAGTAAGAAGTCACTTTGGCCAGACCCAAAGCCTCATGTTCATGAGTGGTGATGGGATGGAAACACCATGGGAGGAGGTAATGGGAATCTAGAAGCAAGGTGTACATTTGTCAAAGATGCCTGGAAAGGAGTTAGACCTTTGTGCCTTATGTTTAAGGACCCTGAGACTCCTTTCCAAAATCCGAAAGGCCATTTGATCTTAATTCCTCCTTAGGAACTGTATGCATCAGCAAGGCAAGGAGCACTGCTAAAAACTGAGTTTTCTTATAACAGTACCAAAAGACTGGGTAGCCCCTGGGCAGAGGGTCTTGGGAGGAGCTTACCAATGGATGGGGCATAGCCGTTGTACTTCCCTGAGTCCAGAGCGTCTTTCATTGCCTGTGTCACTTCAGGGTCTGTAGGCAGGTTTCCAAACACCGTTGGGTCCCCTTTTCAGGGAAGAAAAACACAAAGAAGTCACCAAGTGGTTACTCTTCTCTGCTCAGTGATCAGACTCACCCTCTACTTCCATCTTTTCAATCAGCCCTTGGGGATTGGGGTAGGGGAGATAATGACTACTCCCCCGACAACTGTCCCCAACTCACCAATTGACAGAGCGATTGCTGCTTTGCTCGGATTTGGCGTCACCTTCATGTTGTCCACAATGGCCCGGATGGGGTTGAAAGTGTTGTTGGACATATCCGAGGGCTTCACAGCCCATCTGGCTTTCCTGCCTTTCAGTTTTCCCTGAAAGGGGCTTCTCCCACCAATGTTGACTTGCACATCCCGAACTGCGGGGAGGGCGCTATTGCCATTCATCTGAATCACATAAGCGTCCATTGCCACCCTGTGGGGTAAAAGATGGGGTCCAGTGATTTTCAGAACAGAGCACTTGGAGTTAAACACTGGCTTTCACTGGATGACGCTTTCCAAATGCCTTCTTATTCGATGCATTCTCATCTAAAGTAGCTTTGTCATGAATGAGGAGAGTGATGAAACTTTTACTGAGATGGAAAAGAGAACAAGAACCCATTCTAAAACGTTAGGAGGGAGCACTTCAGTGACCTTCTCTCTCGTCAATGACATTCGCTAAGTGCAATTGAGATTCCTGTAAAAATGGCTCAATGTTCTCAATGGAACCGAGGGAGAAAGGGCACACAACGCACACAATCAAATCATATAGATCCCCTTCTTGCCAGGTAGAGCCTACCTAAGAGAGTCTCCCTAAAACTCCACCAGACTTGCCCTCTGTCGAGAAGAACCAGGCAGAACCAAAGTGCCGTTAATATTATTAGCGAACGAGGGTCTTAACGACACACCAGACAGAAAAATGAACACACGAATTAGCTGATTATTTACCTTCCAAATTTAGGAGAAACAGGCTCCGCGTAGCTGAACTTGAAAGTTCACTTCTTCTCCTACAGGCTACCAGTGACAACAGGCAAACGCTGACTCCTAAAATAGTCTCCACAAATGTGGGTTGGGCCTGAACCAGGTTTGCTATTGGTTGAAGATGAGAGCGGAACAGCCAGCCCCCCCACCTTGTTCTCTGTCCTTCCCTCCCCAATTTTTGCCGCCTCTCATCCCTAGCCTCCCCCCACCCTCAAACCAGGGATATGTCCTCAGATCAAACACCTGCAATTCTCGGTGTTAACTCTTTCTGGGCACATTTTTAAAAGTTCGAGAAGCCTGGCAGAGGACAGTTATGATTACAGTTGGTGATTTTGATGAAATATGCTTCAAGTTGAGAAACAAAACCGTTACAATGTAAATGGTGCAGGGATATATCAAGTAAAAATTAAGGCTCCTTCCTTGCACTACCCCATCCTTAGTTTTATTTTCTTTGTATTCCCCCACCCCCCACCCCCCACCCCTTCCAGCGGTGAACAATGCTAATGGTTTGCCCTTTTCTATCTGCTCACCAGCATGGATAGATGGATGATGATAGATGGTTACATACCATATATGATAGATTATTTTATCGATTAAAGAAAAAAAAACCCCACACAGATGGAGTTTCGCTCTACAACTTGTCCGGTTGATGTCTTACTTCATGCACCTTAGACATTTAGATCAACTCCCGTTGGTACAAACTGAGTCGCCAAAGAAGGTTAGGGCCCACAGAACAAATATCTTCAAAGTAAAGGGTCTCCAAGACAACAGAACCTGTCTGATTGATTTTACCCTAAAATGTGAATTTTACATCCTCAGCCTACTATGGAGTGATTGGAAGACTAGGATGTCGGACAGGATGTAAACGACGATAACTTTGCGATACATGGCACAAGCTCCGTAACAGAGAGCTCGACATTCCCATGCACCTAGGAAAGATACCGCCCACTCAAGGGTTAAGAGGAACCCTAGATGGCCTCGGGGTTCAGATCCTATTTGTTGATTTACTGGGAAACCAAGAGTTGTTACATAAATTCCTTATCTACTTTTCAGTGGTTCATGTCTCTCGTGGGGGTGAATAACCTTTCCTTTTTCTGGGCCTTCCATCCGTTAGCTCTCTGAAGAACTTACCTAAGGCATTCTCTTCCTTGCTCGGTAAAGAAGCAGGGAGAAAGAAAATAAGGCACCAAGCAATAGCATGAAGTCAGTCGAGCAAAAACAAATATAGAGCAGTGGTTCTCAACCTTCCTAATGCCGCCACCCTTTGCTACAGGTCCTCATGGCGTGGTGACGCCCCCAACCATACAATTACTTTCGTGGCTACTTCATCACTGTCATTTTGCTATGGTTATGAATCGGGCGACCCCTGTGAAAGAGTCGTTCTACCCCCAAAGGTGTTACGACCCACAGGTTGAGAACCGCTGATCTAGATACTGATGCCGGAAGCCCTGAGCCTGAGCTCAATAACCAAATCTGCTGTTTCAAAATGTGACGGCCCAACTCTTATCTCGCCAACATCCAAAGATGCAGAAAAGAAAGGCCAACGTCAGATCTGGCCTTTGGCACCATATAACAAGAGTCAACGGCCTGTTTGTTTTACTAAATGCAATTGAACACTGTAGACAGAGGATATACTTTCAGGCTGGCCCAACTGTACTTGTACGTGCAACCGAGTGAGGAGAGAGTACTGCTTCCAAAGCACAGAGATAGGGGCCAAGGACCATTCATTTCAAATATATTTTATTCCTCTCTGCCCTCCCATTATAAATAGAATAGTCTGTGCACAAGGCAAAATCAGGAAAAGTTAAAAAAAAAAACAAACTTATAATTCGACTGCCACTCTCAATATATTGGTGGCTTTATCTGTGCATGATGTTTACCCCTCTCCATATACAAAATTAGGATCTTGTTCCCTGTGCTTAATTTTCAAAGCTTTCAGTTCTCAGACACATCATGAATGTCTTCCCATGTAATGATAAGCATTATCTTATAGAGAAGTACCAAATTTATCGAACCATTGTCCTAATGGACATTATGTGGAGTCTAATGTACCACTGTCAAAATGCTTCCCCAAACATTCTTGAATGTAAGTATTGATTTGAGGTTTTATTACTTTCATAAGGTCAATTTCTACATATTGACTTAGTGCCTCAAAGAAAGTAAACATTTTTCTTTTTATTAATCAACATATGCTATATTTATATAATAAACTGGAATATTACTCAAAGAGTGCTATGCAATCAATTCTGGCTCATAGACTACCCCATAGGGCAGCGCTAGAACTGCCTCTGTTGGTTTCCGAGACTGTAAACCTTTATGGTAGTAGAAGACCTCATTTTTCTCCTAAGGAACAGTTGGTGAATTTGAACTGCTGACCTTGTGAATAGCAATTCATTGCATAATCCACTATAAACTAAACCCTGAGCACCGTCCACGCTACCATGACTGACTGTAGCCATTTCTCATGTACCCTTCTGAACATTTCCTATGTTTATGTGATACTAGTATAGTTGGCTGAGAGGTTATTAAGAACACTGTGCACCTATTCTGTAGATGCAATATGGTAGCCGCCAGTCACATGTAGCTCCTGAGCACCTGATATTCAGCTGGTCTAAGATGAGATGTGTCAGAGGTATAACAGATACACAAGATTTCGATGACTTAGTTAAACAAAAAGAAAGCTAAGTAACTTACTAATAATTTTTATATTGAATTCATGTTTAAATGACAATACCATAGTTATACTGGGCTAAATAAAATATATAATTAAAATAAGTTTTACCTGGTTTTAATTATTTAAATATTTCTGCCAAAAATTTGAAATTACTGTGATTTATATTATATTTCTATTCTGTTGACAGTTTGCTTTGTGTTTTTTTCTTAATTGTAACATGTCGTGTGGGTATTTTACCATTTCACACATGCATATCAACTTTATTCCTTTAAATAGACACATAGTGTTTGTTCAACAATTCCCCTATCACTGGACATAGAGTGACTTTCAATTTCTTTGTCCATCACAAATAAAATATACTGGACGTCCTTATACATTTATGACTACAAATTTTGATGAGTGTCCTCTTACTGGTTAAACAGTTTCCAAGACGTGGAATTACATTTTAAATACTGATAAAACCAAACCAAATCCACTGTCATCAAGTCAATTCTGACTCATGGCAATACCAAATGTTAGAGTCGAACTGCAAGGTTATTATCTTTCCAGAAAGGATCACCAGGCCTGTCTTCTGGAGTGTGCTGGGTGGTTTCAAACTGACAACCTATAGGTTAGGAGTCTCACGAGCCAAAACACTCCACTGTCATTGAGTCTATTCCAACTTATAACCTCTTTATAGGACAGAGTGGAACCGCCACATAAGGTTTCCAAGGCTGTAAATCTTTATAGAAGCAGACTGTGGAGTGGTGGATAGGTTCAAACCATCAACCTTTCCTTGTAGTTAGCAGCTGAGCACTTCAACCACTGCACCACCAGGGCTCCTGGCTAGTAATCCCAGTGACCCCTAAATACTGATTAACTCGACAAATGGATCAACTAGCAGGCTCTAGGAAGAGGGAATTATACAAATGGGAGTGTTTTTGTTTGTTTGTTGATAATTTCTTAGACTCCCTTCCAGAACACATCCTCCTTGAGGATCCACACAGAGAATTAGCTGAGCGTTACAGTTCTCCCCGTGGACAGATCAGGACCCACCTTCTATGATATGTGACCTTGCCATGAGTTAAATCATGCAAAGGTGAGATTTTTCCCAAAGTTAATTGACTATTGTGACTGATTTCTGTCACTCAAGGTTTTCAAAGGCCCTAGCCCGGTGGTATAGTGGCTGTGCATTGGGCTGCGATCTGCAAGGTTGGCAGTTCAGAACCACCAGCAGGGACATGCAACAAAGACGGGGACCCTTTCTACTACAGTAAACAGTGATGGTCTCGGAAACTCCCAGGGCCAGTTCTCCCTTGTCCTATAGGGTTGCAGTGAGTCAGTGTATGACTTGATGACAGTGAGAGTTTTTGTTGTTTTGTTTTAACCACACATGAAACGCAAGCCTAACTCCCACCACACCCAACGTAGGCACAGGCCGTGCCCACCTGGATATTAAGTACTCACAGGGATGCACCTCTTCTGGGCAGAGCAGCACGTCAGGCCGCCCATGTCCAGTTTTCCCATTCCTTCTCGCTATTTGGCTCTTAAGGAGTTCCTTTCTTCCTTTGTTTCTGTTTTTTTTTAAGCTCACTAGGCATTTAGAAGGACGTTTATGATCTGTGATCTAATTTTCTAGACACTTTGTAACTGTCTTCAGCATTGCCGAAAATGAAATCTTCTCCCCTCACTAATTTGAGGTATCATTTTTAGCTTATATGAAGTACTAAAATATTCCTGAATTCGTGTACGGGATACTCTATTGGAGAATGAATGTTTTGAAGGTTCTTGATACACACCGTCAGATTGCTTTCGGGAAAGTCCATTGCCCACCTCTCAGTTGTTGACGGTGCCATAGGATCGCGTCTGCCCCATAATGACCCGCGTACAGCACAACAAGCACGCCCGGTCCTGTGCCGCCTCACAATTGTTGCTGTTTTCACGCCCATTGTTGCAGCCACTGTGTCCACGTCAATCCAGCTCCTTCAAGAGCTTCTCTCTCTCCTTCCCCTTCTCTCTCTCTCTCTCTCTCTCTCTCTCTCTCTCTCTCTCTCGCTGATCTTTTAGTGTACCAAGCATTATGCGCTTTTCCAAGAACAGGTCTTTCCTGATAAGATGTCCAAATGATGTGAGTGGACGTCTTCTAGGGAGCGACCTGGCTGTACTTCCTTCTGAACAGGTGTGCTTGCTCTCCTGGCCGTCCAGGTTATTTGCAGTACTGTTTCCTGGTACAGTACAATTCTCCAGACGTCCTTTCTCATTGTCTTGCTTTCACATAAATGTGAAGCGACGGAAAATAGTCATACTGCATAGCTGTATCATAGCTGCATCAGCCTCACCTTCGTACTCAAAGGGGTATCTTCGCTTTTCAACACTTTAC